TGGGGTGCTCCAGCCCCGGCCTTGCTCTGTGTCTGCCGGGCACCTGCCGCCCTCCCCCACCCCGCCACGTCCAGCCCTGTCTGGGGGGCAGGGAGGGACTGTCGGCCTCGCGTGGAGGCCTCTGAGGTTGGGGCCCCCACCGCACACCCCACTTTCCCGTTCTCACAGCAGCTGATGGGGAAACACTCCACCGAGGCCAGGCCGAAACCGGCTTCGGAGGGGAAGCAGCCACAGGTGTGCGGAAGTCTGGAGCCAGTGACTTGTCTGAGCACCGTGACAGCCAGACCCAGGTGGGGCCCGAGGGGGGGCGGCTGGCCGCCGCCACCTCCCAGCATAGAAGAGGGCGGGCAGGGCGTCTGGGACAGGCTGTGTCTCCAGCGCATCTCTCCCCCCACCCCTCCCCAGATCGCACCCAGCCCAGGGCAGAGCCGTGGCCGCGCCCTCCCAGGACCCCCGGGAAGGACAGCAGAGTCAGGAGGGCAAGTCGGCTCCTGCAGGTAAGGGTCTTGCAAAGCACACACGCGGCAAGTGTCCGGCCGGCAGCCGTGGGCAGAGGGCCCCGGACGGCGGCGGGCGAGGGCTCGTACGTACGGCCCAGCCCTCAGTGACAGCAGACCGTCCCGGTGCCCTGTGCACCTCACCCAGATCTTTCCTGAACTCCACCGTAGTTCCTTATGACCGTGCTGTCGACGCTCGGTCAGCTTTTAACCAGTCCGTGCACACCCGTTCCCGGTGCTCGCTCTTGCTTTGTGTAGACACGATTCCCGCCCCGGCGTCGCGCCGTCCTTCTGCCCGGAGGACCTCCCTCAACGCTTCCGGACGGGGGGAGGGGGGGCGGTGGCGACATCTTTTAGCTTTTGTACGTCTAAGGACAAACTCATCGCGTCGGTGTTTCTGAAATACCCTTTGCGGAGTGTAGCCCAGGCGGACCGTGTCTCCCTCCGGCTAGCAGTGGCGCCCCGTCTTCTGGCCGCGTTGTTTCGCACCGCAAGCCTGCGGTCAGCGTCGCTCTTCACCCCCGCACGCTGTCCCTTTCCTCGGGCCGCCTTTCTGGCTTTCTCCTTGTTACTGCCTTGTGATGTGATAAGGTTGCGTTCGGTTTCTCTTTAAAAGGCTCTCGTGCTTGGGGTGCGTTGCGATCCGGGCACCCGAGAGTTTATCGTTTGCCTCGTGCTTGGGAATGTTCAGCCACGGTGTCGTCTGTCTCCTGGCCAACAAGCCTCCACTGGCAGGGACGTCAGGACACCTGAAGCCCCGTGCTCGCGAGGCTCTGTTCTGTTTGATTCTCTTTTTCTTCTGTGTTTCCTTGTGGAGAGCTCCAACTGCCATGCCTTCGAGTTCATTACTCTTTTCTTCTGTGGCCACCGATCTGTCATTAATCCCATCCGGTGCCTTTTCCTTCTCAGGTATTTGGGCTTTCATTTCTAAAACTTCCACTTGGACACTTTTTTATATCATCCCTGATTCTACTCAACTTTTTAAATATATAGAACACAGTCACAAAAACTTTAAGAATTTTTTTTAATGTTTATTTGTTTTTGATAGAAAGAGACAAAGCACGAGCAGGGGAGGGGCAGAGAGAGAGGGAGACACAGAATCCGAAACAGGCTCCAGGCTCCGAGCTGTCGGCACAGAGCCCGACGCGGGGCTCGAACTCACAGACTGTGAGATCATGACCCGAGCCGAAGTCGGATGCTTAACTGACTGAGCCACCCAGACACCCCCAGGTAGAACAGCTTTTAAAGGCCTTCTCTGGCTAATTCTACCGCCTGAGTCAGTTTCTACTGACTGTTCTCGTGATAGGTCATGGCTCTTCTTCCCGTGCCTGCTGAACATTTTGACTTTTACCTTGCCGGGGGGCGGGGGGGCGCTCCGCACACAGTTGTGAGCTTTGTTCTGGAACGCAGTTACTTGGATGCAGCTGGAGCCTCCCGGGTGTTGCTTTCCTAATTTGTTAGGTGGGTTTGAAGCAGGTGTCCCCCTGGGACGGAGGCAGGACCTTCTGTGCGCTCTGCCCTGAGACCCGTGGAGCGTGAGGTTTTCCAGCCCGGCTGGCAGAGACAGGCATGGCCCCCAGGCTCTGATCCTTCCCGATGCTTCTCTCCCCAGCGTGGGGAGCTTCCTCACATGCTTTCACCAGCCAGTTCCCACTGAAGGCTGAAGTGGGGGGCACTCCAAATCTCCAGGTTCTCTCGGCACAGCTCTCTTCTCCCTGGTCCTTTTTCCGCGAGCTTTACATGCCTCGGTCTCTCCAGACTCCCAGCTCTATCTTGTCTCCTCTGGGGGTCTGACAGGCTCTGCCTCAGTTTCCCCTTCTTGCGGTGGAGCCTAGAAACACTCTCAAGGCAGTCAGCTGTGACAATCAGGGGTCTCACCTAATTTGTTTTCTGTCTCTCAGGGATCACCGTGCTATATGGCCTGACGTCCAGGGTCTGGAGAATTGTTTTTTCATATACGTATTGTGAATGTTCATATATGTGTACATGCATAGACATAAGTAATTTTTTTGTTTTGTTGCTCTTTTTACTGTTTATTTTTGAGAGAGAGACAGACAGAGCAGGAGTGGGGGAGGAGCAGAGAGGGAAGGAGACACAGAGTCCAAAGCAGGCTCCAGGCTCTGAGCTGTCAGCACAGAGCCTGACGTTGGGCTCGAACTCACAAACCGTGAGGTCATGACCTGAGCCGAAGTCCGACGTTTCACCGACTGAGCCACCCGGGCGCCCCTGTTCTGTTGCTTTTTAAAGTCATTTTTAGCGGGACAGTAAATCCACGATCCGATCCCTTTTACTCTCTCGGCGGGAAGCACAAGTCCTCAAATTAACTTTCTAAAACTATAGAGTCCTTTTCCATCCACCCAACACAGAAGGGACAGCTAGTAGCAGCCAATGCCAAAAGAGCTGCTTAAGCCCGGAATCTGCTGCCTCCCCACCTGCTGGATGCCAGACCTCAAGGGGTCACGCTCTGGCTCTGGGCCTCGGTCTCGGAAGTGAAGCCGCGGGACCAAGTCGTTCCTGAGGCGCCTCTCCCTTGGGTCCGGTTTCTGATCAGTGCTTTGTATGATCAGTGGGTTCACACACAACTTCACACCGGCACTAAAGAGGCGGTTAAATCCTCCTGGTGCAGCCTTGTGAAGATCTGATGTGAAGCTGTGTGTATGGGGGGGGGGGATTACACTACCCCAGATGTCCTACCTTTGAGAGGCCCTCCTGTAGAAAAGGCCACTGGAACCCTTACCTGACCCAGCAGGCTGTCCAGAACCCCTACAGGGCCCAACCACAGACAGCTTTCTGTCCTCAGAGCCCAGGCAGGAAGAGAGGCCAGACCAAGCCCCCTCCCAGCTGCCCCTGGCCAGGCTCTACTCTCAGGACAACCCCACCCACCAGGTACAGGGAGAGGTACTCTGGGGAGGCAGGTTCAGGGGAGGTACCGGCATTAGCTCTTAGACCCAAATCCTCCCTCAGCTGCCTGGAGCCGTCGGGTGCTGAGGCCCACCTCTCCTAGAGCCTGCACTCAGAGGATCTCTGCTACAGATCCTGGGCTGGGATGGGGGTGGAGGGAGGCACTCCCTGCCATGGGCATCGCCCACCCTTCCAACTGACATCTGCCCAAGCCCCTTCCTCATGCCTGGGGTGGTAGGTGAGAGCAGGCATTTCGGCAAAGTGCTTCAGGCAAGGCTGGCCCCCACCTTTCAGGTTGCACATTTCAGGGCAGGTGGCCCAGTCTTTCCTCAGCCCTCTTGGGCACAAATACGTGCCCAGACTGAATCAAGGCAGAAGACCAAAATGATGAGGACCCCTCCCCGCCCTCGGGAGCCCGCAGTCGGGAGGGGGGTACCCCGCCCCAGGAAAGGAGGCACACAACTCGGGATGAGTGGAGCAGACAGTCTGGGAGGGCTTCCTGGAGGCGCCGGCCTCCTCCCCTAGGCTGGGCACCGCTCCCATCCGGCGAAGCTGGTCCCGGAGCGGCCCGGTCGGTCTGCCCCGCCCCAGCGGAGCCCGGCGGGGCCCTGGAGCGCGAACCCCGGAGCCCTCGGCTGCTTCACGCTGCAGATGCTTGACGTGAGCCTGCGGGAGGCGGAGCTGCGCGCGCAGCACCAGGCTGCGATGCTGCGCCTGCGCGAGAAGGCGCTGGAGGAGAAGATGCGCGCCGAGCTGGCCTGGCTGGAGCATCAGCGAGAGTGAGCGCGTGCGCGGCCCCGCCCCCGTTCCGACCCCGCCCCCGAGCCGCCCCGCCTGCCACTCGGGCCCCGCCCCCGACCGGACTCCGCCTCCCACCGGTCTCGGCTCCTGCCCCGGTCCTGACAGCGTTACGGGGAACAAACCGAACCGATGCAGATAGTAATGGGTGTTTGCGGGAAGTTAGATAAGGCAGTGAAGTTCCAGAAACAAATAACGTAAACATTTAAAGCACCCGCAGTCCCACCTCTCCCAGACAGCCCCTGCGTATTTTCCAGTCTGTCCTGCCAGCTGTCGTTGCGGGAGATACACAGGGCCGTTTAACCGCATTCCGAGAACACTCCGCTGCTGTCTTGTGACCTGGGTTTCCACTCACAAGTCAGGAAAGCTTTCAGAGCCCCCGCGTAGCCGCTGCACCGTGCAGGGCACCCTCCCCCCCGACTGACCACACAGCTCCTTTAGGCCCGTGGCGGGAGGGGGGGGGGGGCCTCCAGCTGCCTCCTGCGGAGGAGACACGCCCCTTAAGGGAACCGTCTAGAAGCGGGCCTTCGGTGTCGGGGGGAAGCACGGTTTAAGCTTCTTGATATTCCCTCACTGGCTTCCAGTGAGTGTATTCCAAATAAGCTTCCCCCCCACCCGGCCACCTCTCACTCTCCCTCCTTGGGCAGTTTAGGAGCCCGGCAGGCTGTGGGGGTTCTATCCCATGGTGGGCCCCGAGCCCCGCCCCAGGGGACCCTTTGGGTGGGCTAGAGCTCCAGGGTGGGAGGCGCTGCCCTTCCTTCACGTGTCAGGCCCGAAAGTGGTCACGAAGAGCAGGTGGGGAGAGTGACAGTCTGGACGGAGCCCCCGGCCCCGGGTTCCCCCAGCCTGCCCCCTGGTGCATGGCACTGGGAGGGGGGCGTCCCAGGTCCACCTGGCCGGCCAGTTTTCACATCCTCTTCCCGAACCTGAGGTGGACAGTCAGTCCTGCCTCCCCCCTCAGGTGTCTGGGCGGCGAGGGGAAGGACACGATGCTGGCGGCCTTGGCAACGAGGCAAGAGCAGGGGCTCAGCAAGCTTGAGCAGGAGCAGGTGAGAGTGACCCAGCCCCGTCCGGCGGGCAGGTGACCAGCACCGAGTTGGTCCTGCCATCCTCCTGGCTGGGAGTGTGGGCCTTCTGCACCACACCTTGATCAGTCCCCAGCCCTCGCCACCCTCCAGGGCCGCTCAGGACCCTGTGGTGCACGGGGAGCGCCCAGTGGCCGGGGTGGGGGCGGCGTGGCCTGGATGGGGTGTGGCCCTGTAGTCCTGTGTCCTGCGGAGAACATGGAGAATGCCAGCAGTGTCTGTCGAGGGGCCGGCGGGGCTTTAGTGCAGCCAGCACTGACCAGGGTGAGCGTGCACCACTGCAGAGAGGGCTCAAGCCCAGTTTCCTTCACCGGAAAATGGGCACCGGGGCCGCTGTGCTGGTGATCTCATCAGTGTCCCAGCGTGCTGTGTGGTGGGGACTAGTGTTAACCGCCTCCCTTTATGCAGATGAAGAAACCGGGGCTCAGTGTAGGGGGCTTGTCTCTCTCAGGGACCCTCGGAGGGGAACGAGGGGTGATGCTGGACTTTGGGTTGGCAGAAAACTTCCGCCCAAGGTGGCCTGTATGGGCCGGGGAGGGGGGGGGTGGCAGATGTGGGACATGGCAGTTAGTGGGGGCAACAGGAGGAGACCCAGAGAGAAAAGTGTGGGTGACACCATCTGTTGGGCACACCCTGACCAGTGAGCTGTGAAGAGGACTTAGAAGGAGGTCCAGTTATCAAATGGCAGCTAGGTTCTGTGTTGCAGGCAGAGCCACTGTGGAGGAGGCTGGGGTCTGGGCCCCTGGCCACCGGGGCTTGAGCAGGACAGCTCTGCCGAGCCTTAGTTTCCTCTTTGACTTAGGAAGGCCTCCACCCCCCAAAGTGGGCGTGCAAAGACCCCAGCAGGTGCTCCAGGCAAGGTGGCTCTGCTGAGGGATGTGCCATCAGAGACAAAGCAGGGACCAGAGGACAGATGGGGACGGTTGAACGAAGGGACAAGTTCCCTTTGGGTGGGCGCAGTGCCCGGAACCTGGAGACAGGGAGGGCCGAGTGGGGGAGGGCGGAAGGGCAGCCGGCCTGTGCCAGTCTCGGTTGGCCGACCCAGGGTACGACACCCTGCCTTCCCTCCTGCTTCCTGCCAAGCCTCCCGGGGGGGCCAGCAAGCCGAGCAAGACGAGAAGGGCGGGGGGTGTGGAGGGGCTCAGGGAAGGCCCCGTCGGAGCTGGGCTGCCCCCACCCCCTGACACCCTTTATCCCTTTGATCACGCGTGCACTTCTCCTCAACGTGTGCCTGGGTGCGGGCTTGGGGGTTTGCTGACGTCTTCCCTGGCCGGTTCAGACAGAAATCCGATACCTGCGGGACATTCACCTGTTTTCACACCAAGAGAGGAAACTTCTCCTGCAGCACGAAAAGGACATCGTCTCCCTGCAGAGATCCATGGTGCACCTGCGGCGGGAGCTTCAGGCCCGGACCAGGCTGCCTCAGGTGGGCGCTCTCACTGGGCTGGAGGCCAGGAAACGCTTGGCACCTGGCTGTTCTGTGGGACTGTCCCTCGTAAATACGCTTGTGACCCAGGGAGGGGAGGGACCGAGGAGGAGTGCAAAGGGAAGGCAGGAGGGGCACCCAAGGCGGTTTCCTGGACACAGTGGCCCGGCTGGGCTCTGGAGGAGGAGCCCCCACAGTGGAAGGTGCTCCAGGCCCAGAGGTGTGGGTGGGAAGCCCAGTGGGAAGGAGGGAGGTCAGGCTAGAGCTGGGATGGGGCCAGGGCTGTACTCACTGGGGGGCAGGGCTGGTGGGGGCTGAGGCCAGAAGCAGAGGTGGCCTGGGCTCCTAGGGGGAGCAGCCCCTTGGGGGACCCTGAGCAGCAGGGGTGTCCTTGCTCCAGCTCCCCCTCCCACCACCTGTGGCACGGAGGGGGCTGTGGGGACACAGAGCAGGGCAGCTGTCCCCAGCCGAAGCTCTGTTGAGCTGCGGATGCTGTGGCCTTGCCTGGTTGGATGAGGATGGGATGAACTGGGTTCTCTGGGTTAACAGTCACCCTGCAGGGGGGGCAGTTGAGCGGTGTCCTCCCTGCCCCAGGCCGGCCCGCAGGGGAGGTGACCCAGGGCTGCCTGCTGCCAGAGCATGGCCTTGGGTGTGAGCTCGGTGACCCGGGCAGCCTGCGGCAAGGACTCTCCAGCTCTGGGCCTGTGTCTGCCCTGCCTCGGGGCCGCTGCCCTGCCTCGGGGCCGTTAGCATGGCATGCAGGGCCCCTGCGAGGCTAGGACCACCTGCTTCAGCTGGTGAAGGCCGACCTGCGGGGGCACACTGGCCGCCGTGCTGTACGTGAAGCCTGCCACCCGCTTCCCCTGAGGGGCGGTGACCCACACGTGTCCGTGCCAGCTCCCTCGTGCTGTTTCTCTTAGAGTTCCGGCCTTGAGGTCAAGACCACTCAGACGGAGGGGTCTGAGACAAGTGGGCAGCTGAAGGGCCCTGCACAGGGCTCCTCGCGCCCCTTGTCACCGCCCGGGCCCGCCAGCCCCGCCAGCCACTGCCCCCGGACAAGCCCTGAGACCCCACGAGTCCAACAGTGAGTTGTCCCCGGGCGGCCCCCGGTGCTTACCATTAAAAAGCTTTCCCGTGCTGCTGGCTGGGGTGTCCTCCCCTCTCTGAGCCCAGTTCGTCATCTGTTAAGTGGGGACAGGGCTGCCACCATCCCCGAGACGAAGCGAGTAGGCCGGCCTTGCTCCAGGGCAGCGGGCGGCACCCGGGTGGCCACGCGGCGGCCAGGAGCCCCTCCGAGGCTGGCCTGGGGCCCTTCTGCCAGCTGTGGTGGCCGCTGCCGGGGCCACGAGCCCCACTTGGCTGCCCTGAGAGCGTGCTTCTCACATCTCAGCACGGGCCCACGCGGCCTTCAAGTTACCATCGACTGCCGGATCTCTGAGGACACTCCAGGCCGACTGTACCCTCTCGGTGCCCAGGAGCTGGTTCCTGAAGCTGGGTGGGTGGGGCCGTTAGCACAGGCTTAGCACCGGCGGGGGCTGGGGGGGGGGCGCGCCGGGAAGGGGGGGTGCAGGCCGCCGTCCGTCCTCCTGCAGGACGAGGCCTCCTTTGCTGTCCTCATCATGGCAGCGATGCGTTGTCATCGCTGGAAAGTTGGGGACCAGAAAGGCTGTGTCCACATTGGGAAAATTTCAGATGGCTTCTAACCGCCGCCTCCGTCACCGTGAGAGAGACTCTGAGTTTTTGCTGGGGCCGTGCTACACAGAGAACTAGGTGTCCCCCCCTCGGTCCAGGGGAGCTAGCAGCGCTGCGAGTGGGTCAGGGCCCAGGTGCATCCTTGAGCTCTGCCTGTGGAGCCACCCCCCTGCACTCAGCCCACAGGGCTCCTGGCCTGAGACCTGGGGGGGGGGGGGGGGGGGAGAGGGGTGACAAGACTTTGAAAGGGCTCCAGGGGCTGCCATTCCAGTTTGATTCCTGAGGCAGCTCTGGGGGGCGGGTGATGGGCTCGGGCGCACACCCCTTGCTGTGTCCTCAGGGTCCTTGCTCCTGGGGCCAGGCAGGGGCCTGCATCTAGGACACACTCATGGGGACAGGTGCCTCCCAGGCCTTGCCCCAGAGAGGCCAGAGCTCCAGCCCCTGCCTCGTCTCCATCTGCAAAGGCCCCAGATTCCAGGCACCGAGGAAAGCCCTTTGACCCCACTCCCCGTTCACAACCCAGATGCCCAGGGCCCCCTGGGGGAGTTGTAGTATCTGAAGGGAACAGAAACAAGTCAAGCCACACCCTAAAGAGTGGCCGGTGTCCCAGCTGGCCCCTCCGCCTGCATTGTCCAGGGGTCAGGAGACCTGGCAACCTTGCCCCCTGCTGCCTCCTTGAGGCTGTGACGGGGGGGGGGGGTTCCTGATGCCCGTCAGTGTGCTCAGAGCATGGCAGTGGGTCTGGGCATGTGGCCTCCCGGAGCTCAGGTGGGCCCGGTGGTTTGTCCCCACGGAGAACTCTTGCCGGAGCGCCCTGTGCTGGGGAACAGGGACAGGCGGACGCCTCCGGCCCATCACGCTCTGGTGCTGTGCGTGCACCTCGCGAGCCCCCAGCAGGGACCCGTCTGCTTGGGAAGCTGCCTGGGAGGGGAGGGCCCAGGACCTGTTTTCCTGCACCCGTGTGGTGACTGCTCGGCCACCGACCACAGCCATCCCCCGGATGTGACACGTGTTGCCCCATTTGTGGAATGTTGTGGTCGGGGCTTGTCCCCCGGGAGGGCATAGCCCGGGTAGGCAGTCCCAGCCCCGCCCTGCCTTACAGCCTTCTCAGCAAGCAGGCGGATGGGACGCCCCCCCAGGCAACCTCAGCTGCGGAGAGTCACCGGCCGCCTCCAAGGCCCGCGTGGGGAGAGGACACTCCTGTGGCCAGCAGCTGGCCCGACACGGGGCGCCGGCTGGAGGAGAGCCACAGCCCCGTGGGCCAAGGTAACCGGGCACCGCGGTGGCCGCGGTGGCAGCCGAGGACAGACGGTCACTCTGGCCCTGGCAACTGGGGGCAGCATCGGGCTTGAGGTCAGACAGACCTGCGTCCTGCACGCCTCACACGCGCCGTGTGGCCTCCCTCTCCATGTCTGGGCGCACGGCGGGTCCGTTTGCAGGAGGGCCACCTGTGTGTACCTTGACCGATGTTTCTGGGCAGCGGGGTCTGGGCGGGCGCGGAGGCTGTCCTCCCTTCCCTCCGCCTCCTCCTCCGTGTGAAGAGGGGCCAGCTCAGGGGGTGTGCACCCTTCCCAGGGCTGATTTTTCTCACAGGACTTCATAATTCCTGGATGCTGTGCCCCCGCGTCCTCCGTTCTGTGCCCATCAATGCTGACAGTCCCCTTGCCTCACAGGAGACCCCCAGAGCAACCCCAGCCCCACGTCAGCAGAGGAGAAGACCCGGCCTCTGACAGACAGCCGTGCACAGAAGCTCCAGGGCCCCAACTCCCCGGGCGGAGGGGGTCCCTGCGGCCCCCTGGAAGCCAGCGTGAGTTGAGGCTAGGTCCTGCCCTGGCTGCAGGCAGAGTGGGGGCCTGGCCGTGGCTTGGTCGGGCTCTACCGTGTGGCTTTGGGTGGGGGCCGCCCTGTCCACCAGATGATGGTGTTGAGGGGATGGGGCCTCTTTGGCCCTTCTCATCTGGATTCCTCTGTTGAGGGGCCTTTGGTGCCTGCTGGGAGGAGGGGTATCTGGTAAGTGGGGGTCTCCTCGGCGATCTTTAAGGGGATGGTCTTTGTTCCTTACGGTGGTAACTCCATGGGAGCACAGGGCTTTACCCACGGCTAAGGGGCACGGACCGATGGCCTTGTGGCAGTGGCCACACCCTGGCTGTGGTCTTTCTCCCACAGGTGGTTGAAGGCCGCATCAGCCTAGCAGGGTCAGAGCTGGGGCTGGATTTTGCCGGCAGCCCCGTGGAGGAGCCCCACAGAATGGAAGGCTGGTGGCCGGGGGAACAGAGGTATGCGGCCTGGAGGGTTGCCTGAGCCCAGGGGACCCGCAGGCAGGGGGTGGGGTCCTGGGGCATGGAGACGCCCGTCCTCTCGTTGGAAGAGGACAGCTCACTCTGTCCGGGTGCCCCTCGTCCTGAACCGGGTCCTCTGTGCCCCCTCAACCCACCCCATGCCCTCCTGAGTCTGACCCCCTCTGTGGAAGCAAAGATGTCACCTGGGGAGTTGGCCCACGATCCCGTGCTGGGGGCAGCGGGAGGGGCCCTTCCAGGGAACGCGTGCCTCTGAGCCTCTCAGAAAGCAACGCCCCCCAGAGACCTGACCCAGTGGGGACTGAGGCCAGAACCTCCTAAACACGGGGCCCCCTGCCCCCACCCGGGGAGCCCTGCACTCTGACCGTCACCTCCTGTCGGGGCAGATACCTGGCGGGCACGGGTGTCAAGCTTACGGGGGAGTTGAAGGCCCCGTGGAGGCCCTGAGCCGTGGGGATGAGGCCGGGAGATGGGGCCCTCTCCTGGGCGCCCCCTGGGACATCCGCACAAATGTGTTTGCAGGACTGAGAGCTGCGGCCCCTTCTCTCCACCGGAAGCCGCCCAGCTGACCGCTGCTCCAGGTGAGGCCCCGCCGTGCACCAGGACCACGGAACCCCCACCCGCGGGTCCTCCGCCACCAGCTCCTCCTCGGCCGGAACCACCCTTCCCCCAAAGCCCTGCGGGGGAGCCCCGCCCACTCGCCATACGTCCAAGCGGAGGACTGTAGGGAGGGCCCCTGTCTGGAGCCGTCGTGCCCCAATAAACACAGGACGGCTGCAGTTCTGAGGCGGGGCCCCCAAGGCACGGAGATGTCCCCCCAGACGTGGCGCCCTTACTTGTGCCGGCGGGTGGGTGGCCGAGCTAACAGGTGTGGAGCCGGGGGGGGGGGGGGGGGGGCCGCCCCGCGGACCACGCTGGGGCTGTGGCCCTTTCTTCCGCCTCCACCGGGCCCTTCTGGTCCCGATCCGCTGGCTTAGGGGCTGTGGGGTGTGGGCCGCAGGGGTGGCAGGGGGCGAGGGCTGGGGGCCTCACCCCCAACTCCCCCCTCTCCGCAGCTCCGGTACCACCCAGCCGGCCCGAGGGCAGCCCCCTGCCGCCGCTCAGGGCCCCCTCGGACCCGGGCCCGGAGTCCGAGGCTGCTCCCCGGAGCTGCTCGGGGTCTTGGGCGGGGTCCCCTGCCTCCTCCTCCCCGAGTGGGGTGTCCTGCCGCTCTCTCCAGGAGTTCCAGAGAGCAGCCGCCGTCCTGGTTCAGCTCTGCGAGAGCCCCGTCTCCGTGTCAGACTGGGGGGGTGGGGACGTCCCAGACACGGACCCCGGCTGTTCTGGGGAGCTCTCTCCTCAAGACTCCTGGGGGCTCCACCGGGGCGGGGGGCAGGTGGCCCGGGAGAGGCCAGAGGGCGGTGGGGCCGGGCCCCTGGGCGGCCTCTCCACGGAGCCGGGGGGCGTCCTGCGGGAGGGCTGGCCGCTGCCTCCCCCGGACGCCCCCTCTCCGAGGTCAGGGTCAGAGCTGTCAGAGGCGTCCAGCGAGGTCTGGGACGAGGAGAACCTTCTGGAGCCTGGCTCGGGGCCCTCCTTGTCTACAGGAGGCGCGTCCCACCTGGAAAATGGCGGGGCGCCCGGCTCTGCACTTGCTTCCTTGGGCCCTGGGGAGGGGCAGGAAGCGTCTGGAAGCACTGGGAGCCTCATCCGTGAACTCACCACGGAAGAGGGCCCAACAGACGTCCCCCGAGGCTGCCCGCGTGCCCTCCCGTCCACGCCCTCGTTCTCCAGTGACTTGGACCTGTCCCTTTCCTCTCCCTCGGGGTCCTTGGCATCCGAAGGGGTGGATTCTGGCAGAGGAGAGACCAGGCCTCTGCAGGCCTCGGCTGCCTGCCCAGAGGGGCCCTGGGACGCTGCCCTGAGTCTGCCCAGCGACAGGACGCCACGACAGTCCTGGTCGGAGCCTGAGGTCCCCGTGACCCCGCGGGCTCCTCCTGGGGACCCTGGCGGTCTGGTGGCCCTGACACCCCAGGGCTGGGCACCCAGATGTAGGGGCAGTGGAGACTCCCCTGCCCCCGAGGAAGCCTGCCCCACGCCGTCCAGCAGGGCCTTGCCTGAGGTCCTGTCCCCCGTTGACGAGGTGCTATCCTATGGCAGTGCCGACCTGTCCTCCGCTCACAGGGATGCCCGCCTCCCTCCTCTGCCTCCCGCCTTCCCAGCAGAGGATTTGGCCAACACGACCAGCCCCGACTCAGGAGACTTCCCTTCCCCACCTGCGGATGTCATGTCTCCTGGGAGCTTGCCGGGCCCCCCGGGGGAGGATGCCTCCATCAAAACTGGGGATTTACCCTCCTTGTCTGAGGAGGACACACCCGAGGCTCCGTCCCCAGGGCCCCAGGAGTCGGGGCTCTGCCTGGGGGCAGGCAGACAGGGCGGAAGCCTTGGGGACAAATTGGGTGAGTCACGTTCGGTTTCCAGGGATCGGGCTGTGGGCAGCCAGTGGTCTGACCCAGCCGGCTGGCCAGGGTGCCCCTCTGGGGGCAGGGCAGGAGACGCCCCTGGAGGGCTCCCAAGGCTGCCGGTGCGGCCCCCGACCCTGTCCAGAGTGGCCTTTATGGCCGGGGAGGGTCCACCAATGCTGTCAGCCGCTGGCAGCCCTGGGCAGGGCGACCCAGCTCCTGCTCTGGGCGCGGGCCCCTGCGCTGACCCGCCGGGCACGGAGGGAGCCAAGGTGGTGGATTTGGTCTCCAGCCAGCTTAGCAGGAGGATCCTGTGCGACACACTGGCTGTGCTCTTGGAGCCGGCCCAGCCGGCGGCCCCCTGACGGAAGAGCCGCCGTGTCCCGCAGGCTGGCCCGGCGGCCGCTGCAGGGCCTCGGGAAGACGGGGCCCACGGTGACATGGGGTGCCATTGCGCATGCGTGTGCATGGTGTGTGGGATGCTCCGGGAAGCCTGGGCCACCGAGGGCAGAGCCACCATTCAGAACAGCCTGCCTGCGGCTGGCCTCCAAGTAGTCGTCTGGGGCTGGGCTGGGGCCTGGGCGGGGACATGGCGGCCAGTGCGGTGAGCTCTGTGTTCTTCCGGATGTTGGGGCCGCTGCGTCCGTCAGGCGCCTGGAAGGGCCCCTGATCCAAAGCCTTTAAGAGGCGGAAAGGTAAAAGGTTGTGCGGGCGTGTCCAGAGGCTGGCCGGTCGAGGAAAGGTGTGGAGGTCATGGATTGACAGAGAACGGTCCGGAGGGGAGCGGTCCCCAAGGACGAACTGGAGACCACATGCCGGGAGGCAGAGCCATCGGCAAAGGCGGGGCAAAGAGAGAGAGAGAGCCGCTCTGGGGGGACAGGGGGGCAAGGGGCGGTGGAGACGGGCTGGGGGTCACGTCCGCACGGACTCACGCCCCAGCTTGGCGGCTTCTGAAGGCCAAGGGCATGCACGTGGGCCGACCCCGCTGTGGACATCACAGATCTGTCAACTCAAGGGCCGGAGGTGACCAGTCACGCCCCAGGACTGCCCTCTGGCGGGAGGTGGGCCAAGGGCTCCTTGAGGACTCAGGACTCCGGGAGAGGCCAGAGTCCGATTCCTGGTGGCTGTCCACCATCGAATGACCCTCGGGATGCAGGGCGGCCTCGGAGCAGGGAGCAGTTTGCAGAGGTGTTCGCGGGTGCGATCCCTCTAGGGCTTGGCTCCTCCCCTCCAGGGCACGGACTTCCCCCGGCCTCAACAGAGGAACTCCTTTGGAGATGACACTTATGGACCCCTGGGGAGCCGGCGCCTTCCGTGCACTTGCGGTTAGCTGGGGGGCGTGGCGGAGCCCAGAGTTCTGCCTGTGCCCTCCACCTTCCAGCTCGGGAGCGGCGGCCGCCTCCAGGCAGCCCTCCACCAGGCCCCCGCTTCCGGGCAGCCTCCTGTATCCAGGCCAGCTGCTCGCCAGACGGACTTTTGTCACAGGCTCACTCGTCCGGTTTCACGGCTCAGGGAGGCACCAGCTGAGACAGTTCATGCTGATTTCGCACTGGGTCCCCCCACGCCCACCAGGGAACCCCGGGACGGGCTCGGGGGGGGGGGGGGGCAATGTGCTCTTGCTGTGCGTATGCGATTTCAAAACAAGTTCTGAGCTACAGGTTTCCTATTGATTTCCTTCTAGTTTTCTGAACAAATCAGTCTGTAATTTTTTATTTTTTTTCTATTTATTGCTGACCCTTTTGGATTTACGAGGCCGTGCGAGAGGGATTATGTATTTTACACACACACGTTTGGCATGGTAATAAATCTCCCACCTCAAAACCCTGCAGATTTGCCTCAAACCCCATCGCCCCCTTTCTGGTTGCCGTGGGGGGGGGGGCTGTGCTCTTGGCGGGGCCACGGGCCTCCCAAAGGACCTGTCTGGGGGCCGCCTGCACCGGTGGCCCCTCGCCCACGACAGCGGGGCCCAAGGGAGGCCAGGCTACAAAATGAGCTCCATGTTTCAGGTCGGCGCCGTGGAGGGTGTCAGAAGCCCTCCGTCTCAGCTGACACGGCGAGTGAGGGGCGTGGGCTCCGAGGTCCGTCTAATGACAGGCAAAACATACACACCACACTGCTGCCTTCACAGCCTCACTGCGCTCGCCTCGGCTCCAATCCCTGCTAACCTCTGGGGCCGATAAATCTTGGTCTCCAGAAGGGCCATTATCCTTCATAGAAAGTGGTTATTTCTGGGGCGCCCGGGTGGCTCAGTCGGTGGAGCGTCCGACTTCGGCTCAGGTCACAGTCTCGCGGTCTGTGGGTTCGAGCCCCGCGTTGCGCTCTGTGCTGACAGCTCAGAGCCTGGAGCCTGCTTCCGGTTCTGTCTCTCTCTCTGCCCCTCCTCCACTCATGTTCTGTCTCTCTCTACCCAAAATAAATAATTGTTAAAAAAAAAAAAAAAGAGGTTATTTCTTAGTTAAAGCCCACGTTTAATTTTGCAGTCTGTCTCTTTCAACGGCCCCTCTTAGCTGTACCCTCCTGCATGAAATGCCCACGGATGCACCTTCAGCATTTCAAATGCCAAATCACCAGACCAGCTTTAGGAAGCCTTTGATTCCTTACCATGTGCGGCCGTGACAGCCGCCCCTATAAAATACAGCGAGGGGCCCCCGAGGGCAGGTACAGAGAAGTGACAGCCTTGTGCACTCCGGGGGAACACAGCAGCACCCGTTTGGATGGCGCCTTCCTGTGCCGGGGGCACCTGGCTCCCGGGGTGGGGGGTGGGAGGTTAAGTGACCAGGCTGGGTCCCCACCTCCGGGCCAGGTTCTCCGGCAGCGAGGGGACGTGGCTGTCCAGTGAGCACCCAAACAAAACCAGTTCCGTGGGTCAGACCTGTCCTGTCCATGCTGGCTCCCCAACCAGCATCTGGGCCCCCCAAGGATGTCTGCGAGGCCCACACCTGTGCCTGTGGCCCCTTGTCCTGCCCGCCCACCCCATGCCAGGCATCAAGCGCCAAGCTGCTGCTCTACATTCCCAACGGCGTGCACACGGCTGGGAGCAGACCGCAGTGTTGGCAAAACATGACTACGCGTTTAGGGCGCGAGGCAGGATCGCGCGTGAACACATGTGCCCACACGTGCACCCCGGCCCTCCCAGGGCTCCTGCGGCTGCCCCCCAGTTGGGGCCCTTTCTGTCCGGCAGCTGTGTCCGTCCAGGCTGTAACGTGACACAGCCGGGGTGTTCAGTGATGCTCAGAGCCCTTCCTAAGTCCTGCTCTCCACGTCTCACTGGGGTCGTGGCAGGGACCCCATCCCCGTCCGTGCCTCCCTGGCCACCGCCCCTGCCTTCCCCCCCCCCCCCCCGCCATGTCACTGTGAGGACACAGAGGATTGTCACCACCAGGCTCTGTCCCCAGCCCGCAGCAGTGCTCTGGAACAATCCTCCTGGTAGGTCTTCCGGAGAATGGGCGTTCTTCCTAAGCAGCCGTGCCCAAACGCAAACACCAACTGGGGGCAGGTCCTCGGAGGACAGGGCCCGCTCCGGAGTCTGGGCTGTGGCAGGAGTTCAGAAGCGTGTGTGGGGCGCAGAAAAGGCACAGTGGCCCTGCCACCCGCCCCCAGGGCCCCTCTCACCGCCCCGCAAGCTGGCGTGGCTGCGGCACTCAGAGCAGGGAGGGAGCTCCGCCTCTGCCCCTGAGCGTCAGGGGCACTCAGGCTTGAGACCCCCTCTGTCGCATGTGTGCCACGTGCCCCTCACCATAGTCCGTGGCCCTCTGAGCCTCAGTCTCCCCCTCTGTAAAACAAGAACACAGATGCCTCGCTCCGTCAGCTCCGAGATGCAGACCTGCCCACGTTGGAATCACCGCGAAATCAGAGCGCGTCCTTCGATTGGAGGCATCTGAAAATGGCAGCAGTTTCCTTCCTTCGTAGCACCTGCGATCGTGGTTCATCTGACGGTGGCCCAGGGCCGAGCGCCCCCTCCGTGCAGGTGGAGGAACCGATCCAGGGGGTCTCCAGGGTGGGGTCACGGGCTTTGAGCCGGCCGGGAAAGCGATGGAAGCTTGGAAACTGCTCTCTTTGCCTTGTCTCTCAGACCCTAAGATCCAACCCCCTCCCCCACACCCTGTTTTAATGTTTCTGAGTCTGGCTGCATTTTACAATCAGTGGGCGCTCTTCCTAAGAACCTTCTAGTGAATCGACATGGGCTGCAGGGCCAGTGGCGCTCTGGGTTTGAGAAACGACCCGTGCTGTGTTCAGGGTGCTGAACAAAGTCCGGTGCCACGGGCCCCATGCCGCGGAGCAGGTGTGGGGTGAAGTAACACCCGGCCACGCTGACTGCACCCCGGGGTGGGCTCACGGTGTCCGTGGCGCCAGCCTTCCTCACTTCCTGTGGGGTGGGGCTGGTCCTGGGGAGGGACACCGTGCTTCGACCTGCCTTCCCACAGCAGGAAGGGGGCACTCCTCCAGCACTCCCCAGGGGGATGGCTGGCAGAGGAGGGACCAGGAGACCCTAGTGGCCCTTCAGTGGGGCCAGCACGCACATCGTCTGGCTGCCCCTGAGACGCCCCTCTGGCTCCCTCAGCACGTGGATGGGGACACACAAGCCCTGGGGAACAGTTGTGACAGCACGACTTGCACCTGGGTAGGGGAGGGGCACGGTCCTTCCAGGCGGCTTTGGGCATTTGCTGTGGACTGAACTGTGTCTCCCCAGAATTCATTCATGGAAACTTGCCCCCAATGTCACAGTGCTAGGAAGCACATTAGGGTTTGATGAGGTCACGAGAGTGGGTTCCCACGATTGCCCTTGTGCCCTTATGAGAACAGACCCCAGAGAGTTCTCTGTCCACGAGAACACACAGAGGGATGTGAGGACACCTCGAGAAGGCGGCCGGCGATCTGTGGGCCAGGAAGCGGGCCTCTGGGAGCTGACCCTGATGACCCTGATCTGGAGTTTCCAGCCTCCCGAGCTGTGAGAAACAAAGGTCTGTCGTTTAATAAATGCCTGTGCTGTGGGGTTTTATTACGCAGCCTGAGCCGACTGAGACAGTGTTCAGAGTTAAACCCCCCCCCCCGGGAAGGGTGGAGAAGGGTGCCTTGGGCCTGAGTGCTCAGAACCCACCCAATAGCCCGCCCCTGACAGTCTTTGCCCCCTGGATGACCAGAGCTGGTCTGCGCACTCAACGGTGGCCATGTGACTTCATGGCCACGCCCCCAGGCCGAGGCCAACAAGTCAACCTGGTCACAGGTGGAGGGGGGCAGGGACCGGTGAGGCTGAGATGGGCTCCACCCCAAGGGCAGCAGGGGGACGCCAGGGGCACCCAGCAGAGCAGGAGGGGCACCTGGAAGCATAGGCTGCATGCGGGGGCTCCCCTCGGAGGCGGAGGCAGCACCTTCTGTGGAGAGAGGCGGAGAGAGGCTGAGCTGGTCAGGTGCAGGGTGCAGCGGCCCCTTCCAGCCTTGTATCCCTTGGTGCCCACGCACCCAGGGGTCACCTGCCTCCTTCCCCTTGCACTCCACGAGGCACACCCTGGCTCTCCCCAACCTGTTCCCTGCCGGGCCTCTCCTTCCTGCCTGGATCTCCACTCTCCTTCCCCCACCACCTCCCGAAAACCTCCTGGGAGGAGCCACCCTTTCAGTAAACGCCTTGTCCCTACGTCACTCAGAACACCTCTGTCCAGTCGCTAGGGAGCCATGCCCCCACCCCCCCCCAGGCATCTGTCATTCTTTCCTCCCCACATCTATCCTTGACCTCCGTCTCTGCCCTCTCCTGTCCTCCTCCAACCTCCAGGTTGCTCCTCTGCCTCCCCCCCCCCACCCCATTTGCTTCAGTCCAGGGCTCGGGGTGTGGCCAGTGGCCTCCTGTGGTGACCTCAAGCGGTCCAACCTACCCTCTGAGCCCAGACTCTCACAGCCAACCAGTGGCCTGGCACTTGCCTCAGATGTCACAAGGTCAACAGATCCAAAACAAGCTGGAGTTCCACTCTCATCCCAACCTCCGTCAAGGGCAGCTTCCTGCTTGCAGCGGCTCTGGCCAAAACCCTGCGAGAAGACACGACCCCTCCGTCTACACTCGGGATTTAATCCACCGCATGTCCAACCTTCCAAACACACCCTAAGTCTGACACTGTCACTAACATTGCCACCCAACCCTCACCTGATTCCCACCATCTCTTGGAGGGCTGTGACAGCCTGTCACAGCTTTCCCTCCTGCCCCTAATACACAGCAGCCAGAAAGGCAGAACCACATCTCTACTCAGAATCCTCCGATGGCCACCGTGGCTTTCAGAGCCAGGGGCCCTAATCTGCAGCCTGCCTGGTGAGGCCCCTCCCTGTGTTGTTCTTGGCCGCTTCCCTGGTTCCCTCTCTTCCCCTGGCTAACTCTGCTCCAGCCACACTGGCCTCCTTGCTTTTCTTCGAACGCGCGTGTCCCTTCTACCGCAGGGCCTTTGCACACGCAGTTCCTCTGCCTGGCGTGTGTAGGAGCCAAGTGGCCCGAAACAAGAATTTGAACTTCCAGGCCAATGACTGTTGCTGACTCATATCCGCTCTGCGACCTACTTCCTTTCTTTTTTGTTTTGGTCACACAGTTCAGAGAAAATGTTGATATGCATAACAATCGAGAATAGCAATGTAAAAACCAGGTCTCCTGTTGAATTAAGCAGAAAGTCACAGGAAGCTTTACTTCCTAGGGCTGCAAAGGTCACCTGGAAAGTCCTAAACTTGGGCACCGTAACACGTCTGAATCTGTGTGGATGTCTTGCTAAGTTTCCCAGAGATAAAAATCTCATATTTAAAGGTCAAGGTCAGGGGAGCAGACACTCTGAAGCCCCAGGTGGGGTTTCCAGATGA